AGCATTGGAGTGCTAACCATGCACGTTCATCCCGCATCTCCATAATGTAAATCAACACCATCGATTCAAGACATTTAGTTTGTCAATTGTATCATATGTTAAATATAATTCATTGTGTAAACAGATTTGATTTGATATGATTAGATATCATATGATTAGATTAGATTTGATATCATATGATTAGATTTGATATCATATGATTAATTTGATATGATATGATTAGATATCATATGATTAGATTTGATTTCATATGATTAGATTTGATATCATATGATTAGATTTGATTTAGAATATTTTGGGCCTTTTATGTTTTGGGCTAGTGTAAACCTAAAACTATAAATAGGGTGCCTTGCTTTGTATACATCACAACAGAACAGATTTCACAGTTGCAGTTAGCAAGTGAAAGTTCAATAAGAAATCCCACAGTTGTGGGTAACACATTCTCTCCAAATACTTCTTCTCTCATTCTTCTCTTTCTTGTTTGTTATTCTTCTTCTCTTTTGTTGTTCTTAATAATTACTTGTTATTACCATCATTATCATATAATGGGTTTGTTCATCAATCTTGAGATCAAGATTGAAGGGAATTCTTCATAGGGTGTGAGGTGAATTTCCAACATCTGGTATCTAGAGCTCCGGTTAAGAGATTCAAGGAAGGAAGATAGTGATGGCGATGAACTATCCAAACGGCAACTTTCCGGCGACCCTGCCAATTCTCAAGAAAGACAATTATGAGAATTGGTGCAAGCAGGTTAAGGTGATATTCTGTTATCAAGATCTTTGGGATCTTGTGAAGGACGAAGTAACATCACTGGTGGAGAACGCAACAGAGGCGGAAAAGGCTGCGCACAAAGAATTGAAGAAGAAGGATTATAAAGCACTCTTTATAATTCATCAGTGTGTCGATCCTGATAACTTTGAAAAGGTTAGTGATGTTGATTCAGAAAAAGAAGCATGGGAGATTCTTGGAAAGTCGTTTGGAGGCGCAGAGAAGGTGAAAGAGGTGAGGTTACAAATTCACAAGAGAACCTATGAGTTGCTTCAGATGGAAGACAACGAAAGCATTATAGATTTCTTTACCAGAGTTACAAGGTTGGTGAATCAAATCAAAGTATATGGAGAAATGATGACGACGAAAGCAGTTGTCTCAAAGATTTTGAGATCGTTGGCTCCAAAATTCGACCACGTGGTAGTTGCCATAGAAGATTCGAAAGATCTGTCAGTGTTGACGAAGGAAGAGCTTCAAGGTACTCTTGAGTCTCATGAACAGAGGATGGCTGAGAGAGCTGCAGGAAAGTTGAAAGATATGGCTTTGCAGGCACAGACGGAAAAGGAGAGAAAAGGCAAAGGTAGCTGGAATGACAACAAAGGAGAAAACCAGTCGAATCAAAAGAAACCTTGGAACCAAGGCAACCAAAGAGGTGGTGCTGCAGGTAAAGGAAGAGGTGGTGATCGAAAGACAGAAAAAAGCCACATTCAATGTTTCAATTGCCAGAAGTATGGTCATTATGTTAGTGATTGTCCAGAAAAGAAGAGAAATCAAGAGACTGATACAAAGCTGGCGAAACATGAAGAAGAAGAAACGTTGCTAATGGTCACAACAAACGATGAAGAAAGATTCCAAGATCAGTGGTACTTGGACTTAGGATGCTCATCACACATGACTGGAAGGAAAGATTGGTTTGTCAACATGAAGCCCTCGTCGAAGAATACGGTGAAGTTTGCAAATGACAACACTCTAGCAGCTGAAGGTGTTGGTGATGTTCTGATTATGAGAAAAGATGGCAAAAGGTCAACAATTTCCAATGTGTTGTACATACCAGGCATGAAGAGTAATTTGCTCAGTATAGGGCAGCTTTTCGAAAAGAACTACAAGGTAGTTGTCGAAGACAAGATGATGAGAGTCCTCGACGCAGGTGGTAAATTAATCTTGAAGGCTCCAATGTCTCAGAATAGGACCTTCAAGATTTGACTCAATGTGATGGAGCATAAGTGTCTAGCAACTGCAGCCAGCAGAGATGAGTGGTTATGGCATTTTCGACTAGGTCATCTCAACTTTAAAGACATCAGAGAACTGAAGAGAAGAAATATGGTTTCAAGATTACCAGAAATCGACATTCCAAGTGAAGTCTGTGAAGAGTGTGTTCAGTCAAAACAACACAAGAATAGCTTCAGCAAGGATGCAGGAAGGAAGTCGAAGGCAATACTTGAAGTCATATACTCTGATGTATATGGTCCAATCCAGGTGGATTCGATTGGTGGCAATAGATACTTTGTCACGTTTATAGATGATTACAGTCGAAAGCTATGGACTTACCTCATCAAGAAGAAAAGTGATGTGATTGAGGTATTTTCCAAATTCAAGTCCATGGTCGAGAGACAGAGTGGTCGAAAGCTGAAAATTCTGAGGACTGATGGTGGTGGAGAGTATGTGTCGAAAGAGTTCGATACACTATGTGTAAAAGAAGGGATTGTGCATGAGGTGGTGCCACCCTACACTCCACAGCAAAATGGGATTGCAGAACGCAAGAACAGAACCATCATGAATATGGTGAGAAGTATGTTGAATGGAAAGCATCTACCCAAAGAATTATGGGGAGAAGCAGTTTCGACATCAACATATATATTGAACAGATGTTCGACGAAGAAGCTTGAAGGAATCACACCAGAAGAATGTTGGTCTGATGTCAAGCCTAGTCTCAGTCACTTAAAGGTGTTTGGATCTATAGCACATAGACATGTGCCAGATTAGTTGAGAAGGAAGCTTGATGATAAGTCGAATCAGATGATCTTGATAGGATATCATTCGACAGGAGGTTACAAGCTGTTCGACCCAGTAAATAAGCAAGTAGTGATCAGCAGGGACGTGATTATAGATGAGCTTAAAGAATGGGATTGGACCGAGAATTCCAAGAAGGATTCAGTGAGAATATCTTGTGAAGAACCAGCCACTGAAGTCGAAATAGAAGTTCGACAGGAACCAGTTGCAGATGAAGCAGGTTCAAGCAGACCTCGACGAACAAGACACATGCCTGCAAGGTTGCAAGAATGTGTAATCACATCAGATGATGTAGTCAATGAAGAGGGTGAGCTGGTACATTATGCTTTCTACGCAGATGTCGAACCAGTCAATGCAGCTGAGGCATTGAAAGATTCGAAGTGGGTGAAAGCAATGATTGAAGAGTTAGAGTCCATCGAAGTCAATGATACCTAGTCACTTGTCGAATTGCCGCAAGGCAAGAAGGCAATTGATGTGAGGTGGGTTTACAAGGTGAAGGTAAATCCTAAAGGAGAAGTAACTCGACACAAAGCGAGACTTGTGGCGAAAGGATTTCTTCAGAAGGAAGGAATCGACTTCGATGAAGTATTCACACCTGTTGCTAGAATCGAAACAATCAGGTTGGTTGTTGGTCTAGCAAATATGAACAACTGGCACACATATCAGATGGACGTGAAGTGGGCCATGATGAATGTAGACAGTTTAGACACAATGAATTAGGTGGTGTGTTAAATATAATTCATTGTGTAAACAAATTTGATTTGATATTATTAGATATCATATGATTAGATTAGATTTGATATCATATGATTAGATTTGATATCATATGATTAATTTGATATGATATGATATGATTAGATATCATATGATTAGATTTGATTTCATATGATTAGATTTGATATCATATGATTAGATTTGATTTAGAATATTTTGGGCTAGTGTAAACCTAAAACTATAAATAGGGTGCCTTGCTTTGTATTCTACATCACAACAGAACAGATTTCACAGTTGCAGTTAGCAAGTGAAAGTTCAATAAGAAATCCCACAGTTGTGGGTAACACATTCTCTCCAAATACTTCTTCTCTCATTCTTCTCTTTCTTGTTTGTTATTCTTCTTCTCTTTTGTTGTTCTTAATAATTACTTGTTATTACCATCATTATTATATAGTGGGTTTGTTCATCAATCTTGAGATCAAGATTGAAGGGAATTCTTCATAGGGTGTGAGGTGAATTTCCAACATCATATATATGTGTTTGTGCGTGCGTGCGTGCGTGCGTGTTTTTTAGTTCAAATCAAAGATTAATATTAAAAATTCTATTTTCACATTAACAAAGTGTTATGGGTCAAGTCATTTTATATATTAATAATTATTTTCAAAGTTTAAAAGTATTCTATAAAAAGTATGATACTCATTTGATCACTCTAAATTTTTAAAATTTTATTTTAGTATCTTATAGACGAAATTTAATTATAAAAAAGTATCTTATAGACGAAATTTTTAAAAGTAAGTTAATATAAAAAAGAATGTGATATTGAGTGATTGAATGATAGATAATTACATATATCTAACAAAATTTCAATATCAAATTCATCATAAATTTTCTAGATACATATTTTAGAAAAATGGTCAATTAAAGAAGAAATCAGAATATTTTTGTAAATATTACTGTTATTGAAAAAGCAATAAGTCAATTCTAAATATTACTGCTATGGAAAAAGGAGCAGTCAATTCTAATTTTTTAATCTAAATAACAATTTACCATTAAAAAATAAATAACTATTATAACTTAAAAATGTGAGATTTTAAAGGTTGACAAAGAAAGTGATTTCTCAATTTCTAATTTCAACAATTTTTTTTTTAATTTACCAATTTTAAGATTATTTATAAATTTTAAAAAATAGTATAAACAGCATGCATATTTGATTCATATTTTTGTTCTTCCCCATTAAAATACATTCAACAGAATCACTTTTTAAGATAATGCATTAATCCAGTCAAAAGAAAAAGTGAATGAAATATTGAAATTATCTTAGATATGAAAAGAAGTGCATTTTTCACAATTTATAATTTTTCTTCTAAGGATCAAAATAACATTCCTACCTACTTATATTAACATTAAAAAAAACTAGCAATTTAAATATTCCCTTAAGTCTATTCTTTCACTCTCTCTATATAAGCACTTCTCATTGTTATTTCCTCTCATAAACAATTTATAAGAAAATGATAAGTATTATAAGAGAAAAATTGAAGCTTATTGTGGGATTACTTGCTCTACAATTTTGTTTTGCAGGATTTCACATTGTCTCTAGACTTGCCCTAAACATTGGTGTTAGCAAAGTTGTTTATGCTATTTATAGAAATCTCATTGCCTTGTTTTTGTTGAGTCCATTTGCTTACTTTTTAGAAAAGTGAGTTTCCATAATCACATTTTTTTCTAGTACTATTTTTCATTTTGTTGCATCATTTTTCTTAGTACAATGATACACATTTTAATATGAATCATTGTTAATATTATTGTCTACAGGAATCAAAGACCACCTCTTACACTGTCTTTGTTGGTTCAGTTCTTCCTATTGGCATTATTAGGGTAAGAAAGTACATAAGCTCTAAAACTCCAGGCATTTTATTGTCGTTTTAAATTGCGATTATCTTCTGCGATGCGCATTGCAATTGTTGTAACATGAAAATTTATTTAAAAAATGTTGAGATCCGTTAAAAAAAACTTATTTAAATTTATCGTTAGATTTGTTTTCAGAATGCATTTAAACATAAATTATTTTACTCTAAATTTAATTTATTTTAAAATAAATTTAATTAAATTTTTGAACGAGTGTAAGTTGTGGTTCTATATTGAATATCCGACAATATTAATATTTTTAAAATTATTTTTGTAATATATTAATATGAATAAATTATTAACATTTATAAATTAATAATGTTTAAAAAAAATAAAAAAATATTTATTCAAAATCAATTTTTGTTATTGCAAAACAAAAGACATAAATACAATGAGTTCTAATATTTAATTTTCTCCTTTTTGTTGATGATGTAGAATCACTGCAAACCAAGGGTGTTACTTGTTAGGGATGTATTATGCTTCTCCAACTTTAGCTTCTGCCATGCAAAACTCAGTTCCTGCCATCACTTTTATCTTTGCCTCAGCTTTAAGGTATGTCTCCAAGAGTCCTTGTTTGAATTCAACTATTTGAGTTTAATCTCATAACAACTTTGGTGAACTAAATTTGTTTCTTTATAAGACTTGAGGAAACCAACATTGCAAGAAGAGAAGGAATAGCAAAAGTTGTGGGAACCATTGCTAGTATAGGAGGTGCTATTATAATTACTCTATACAAAGGTCCTCCTCTTCTTCACTTGAAAATGAACCAAATGCAAGAAAACATCACCTTACAAATAGATGAGTCTTCCACAAAAAATCAAAATTGGACATGGGGTTGCATATTCTTGCTTGGACATTGTTTATCATGGGCTGGTTGGATAGTTTTTCAGGTATAAATATAATTATCAATAATCATATCAAAATTTATGCATATTATTTAAACCCTAAACTACAAATTAGTTATAATACTAACAAAGAGACACGACTCAGAAGAAGAAACGTGACATTGGTAATAATTTGAAAAAATATAACGTCTAAATACAAATCCTAAACCCTATCCTTTTTTATTAGGGTTTAAGATTTTAGATTTAGAGTTTAAGATTTAAGGTGTTATTTATTCATAACAAGAATATTGTTAATTTTTGTGCAGGATCCTGTTGTTAAGAAGTATCCAGCTAAACTCACACTGACTTCATTCACATGTTTCTTTGGATTGATCCAATTCTTGATCATTGCAGCTTTTACAGAAAATGATTTTGAAAAATGGAAGATACAATCAATAGAAGAGCTCTCTACCATCCTATATGCTGTAATAATCCTCACTTCAAATCTTAAATATAACTTAATTAAGCACTTAAGGCATAAGCACCTATTATAGCTATAAACTGTTTTCGTTGAAGCAATAAGCTGTTTTCAAAAGCTATATTTGAAAGCTTATAAAGATAAGCTGAATCCAAACAAGCCCTTATAAAGATAAGCTGAATCCAAACAAGCCCTTATAAAGATAAGCTGAATCCAAACAAGCCCTTATAAAGATAAGCTGAATCCAAACAAGCCCTTATAAGATTGTGTGACGATTACAGGGAATTGTAGCATCAGGGGTTATGTTATCTCTCCAAACATGGTGTATTCAAAAGGGTGGTCCTGTCTTTGTTGCTGTGTTTCAACCATTACAAACTTTTCTAGTTGTTCTCATGGCTGCCCTTATTCTTGGAGATCAGTTATACTCTGGAGGGTAAGCACAAAATTCAATGACCATTAATGGATTATTTTCACTCTTTCAACTTTTTGTTTTAAACTTATTCTTTCAATTTCATTGCAGGATTATTGGTGCTATTCTCATTGTTCTTGGTCTATACTTGGTTCTATGGGGCAAAGCCAACGAAAATAAAGTGATTGAGCCATCGATAACAAGACCATTGCTTGATTCAGATGAAGAGAATAAAATTACTGATGCAGCTGCAAAAGATTTATCTTAATATATCTATTAATAAGATACTAAGCTTCCATCCGGATAAAATTATTTGATACAATATCAAATATATTTAAATGTACATGCAAATTCCGTACATTTTATAATATATTTATATTTAAATTTAAAATTAGTTATTAATTTTAAAATAAAAATAATTATATAAATATAATTTAAAATATAAAAAAAGAGACTTGTGAGATGAAAAAAAAAATTAATATTTGATAATAAAGATTTTATCTTTTAAATTAAAAATGATATTTTGATTAAAATAAAATATGTATTGTGTTTATAGTGAAATAGAAAGTTTATTTGATACAATATAAAATGTATTTATATACAGATTTATATTTGAAATGAGTTATTTAATTGTAGACTTAAATGCACTTTTGGTATCTTTAGTTTAGACATTTTAAACAATTGATCACGATTTTAGTCCCTTAATTTTGATGGACTTTGAATTTGTATGATCCTCTATCCTATTTTAGTTATGTGTCATCTTCACTAACGAGGTGACGGTTTGACTTTATGTTCATGTCATCAATTCAAAATATTTTTAAAAACAATTAAATATTTTAATTAATAAAATATTCAAAACATTTTTTAAATAAAAAAATACTTGTAAAAATCCCTAATACCTAGTAACCAAATTAGTCATCTTTTGGATTCAGGAACTTCAAAATCCCTAATACCCATTCACTCCGATTGCAGTAGTTTTCAAATCGATGGATAGTTTTTCTTGTTTCTCTTCCCGATGAATATGATGATCTAATCCTAGCTACAAGATATAATTAGGACAGTTTGTTTCTGTTGATCGGTTAGAAGATGCTTTGCCTACCAAATAATATTCTTCTCTCTCTCTCTCCAAACGGACGTGTGGGAATCTGGTACAGGAAGAAAAATATAAAAAACGTTTTAGGATGGATGAAAAAAAAGAAAAAAAAAAAGCCTAGCCATTTTCTCTCGTGACTCTCACCTTTTGAATCCACTCTCATACTTCAACAAAATACCTCACTACTTCTCGACACCCACATGCATAAAATGTAGCAATTCCACTTCACATTCAGTAAAGAAAAAGCCACCTCTAACAATGTGACTCTTTCACTCACCTTTTTAAATTAATCCAAAAATCTCCCTCTTTTTTCTTGTTGGGATTTCCTTTCTTTTCTCTTTTTAATTTTGTATTATTAAAAGAAAACAAATGATATACGCTAACATTCAATCGCATATTATATTAAAAAGTTTTCGTTGATTACAACGGACGTGATAGATGCTAATACATTCCTCTTGCATGTTTGACTCTCAAATCTAAATATGGTTGTGACGACTATTATTCTGTTTTTAAAGATTTTATCGATATTTTTTTATTCTTTCATTGTGATAAATACAGTTTAGTGGCGACTCTGTTCGAATTAATTTTTCCACCTCCATTATGAATGATCGTTTTTTTTTTTGAGGTACGACAATATGAATATGATGTTTATAAGTGATCGTACCTGATCAGAGAGATCGCTGGCCTGCTACGCGTATGAGCTGTCGGACTGTTGACTTGACGGACCGGGGAGGGGGTACCTGAAACACACTCTGATGCCAAAGTAAGAGACGAGCAGAATGATAACAAGTACAGAGAGAAAGGAGTAAGAATTAGATTACTTGACCCTCTAGTGGAAGAGAGTATTTATAATGAGCCCCCAACGCAGGGCCAACGGTTACTATGCGTTGGACTGGGCTGTCAGGCTCAACGCTGGTAACTGCTAGGACTGACGTGGCGTCGTGAAGACCAGCACATGGTCTTCGCCCTAATGTAACTGTTCTGTGCCATCCGGGAGGTGGAGGACCGAATAATCAAGACACAAATAATTACTTGATGACGTGTCTCTGTGTAGGGGACACGTTGAGAACGTGGGGGATGTCAGAGGAGCTCCCCGAGCTGGATGGGTTCTGCCCGACAGTGGGGCAGAAGAGGGGCGAGTCGGGAAGATATGAGGATCCTGCTCGACTACCGTTGGTCCGTGCTCGACGGGAGAAGATGTTCTATCTGACAGGTCTCTACCCAACGATGAGGCCTTATTGGGCCTTCCAACCTGGTGGGGTTTGGGCCTGCTCGACTATGGGCCAAGCGTCGGCCCAGTCCAGAACAGTAGCCCCCAAGTCGTTGCTCGCGGTTAAACGAGCTATAACTTAAGATGAAAAAGTGTCGAGCAGGTCGCGACTGTACTGGTCGGGCGAGCCTATGATGTAGGGGAAACCCGGAGACAAGGAGGGGAATCTGAAGAGACGTAGGGAAGGCTAAGGGTCACCACGTGTCACCCTAAGAAGGCTACGGGCTAGGCACTTAAGTCCCTAGCGACGATTCATTTCTCGTGCTAGGGCGTATATATACGTGGGTCCAACCCGTCTTTTTGTTCTCTCGTTCTTTTTGCTGCTGTTCAACCTTTTGAATTCTCTACTCGACGCCTACAACCTTTCTGCTCGACGCAACCGCCTTTCTCCACCGTATCACGTAAGTCTTTGCCTCCCTACTGGTATTTTTTTAGCAAGCTTCCGGCAGTGCTCTCGGCGGTTCTGATGGGGATGCCGGGGAGACCGTGGGCTTTTCTGGCGAGCACGCCGGAGAGTCAATGATTGTTGAACGTCCTGAGGGTGGTTTGATGAATACCCCGAACACGATTGATGAGTGCACTGAGGATAAAAGATTGCATTACCCAGGCACATCGGAGGGTCGGGTTATCCCATAGTGGTCTTCTGGGCGCCCAGGCGTCCACGCCTTTTCACTTAAACTGCGGTAGAAGGGTGAATTTGATTTGGCTGTCGAATTCACCAAGTTCCTCTGCTTTTCAAGTAAATGGCCGCCCATGAAGAAGAGGAGATGATGTGGTATCTGTTCGACGATGAAGAGGGTCGCCAAGATGAGGCTGTTGGGGATCCTCTGGACAGGCCGGTCGGGGAGTGGGTCGGGGACGAACCCTCAACTATATGTCCCGGTTCGTGCTCGATGATTCTGATATTTTTGTTGTGATCGAAGATAGAGAGGTCGGGGCTCCTCGTCAATTCAGATCATGTCGGTCTTGGGAGCTGGACCGTATCTACTCTCATTACAACAAGGGCCGATTCCATATGTACGTATTTCCATTTAAGGAGGCGAGGATGCATCTGCCGTTCACAGATTTCCAGCAGGTAGTGTTCGACCACCTGATGCTGGTGTAACGCCCCGATTTCGATTATCCCTTTTTCGTTAAGTCCTTTTGATTTTAATTGGGTGAATATTATTTTGATGTGGAATTTTCATGGAAATATGTTATGTTTACATATTATTCTATTTTACCCGATTTTGGGAGTTTTCGGAGAAAATAGTTGGAGGGTATTTTGGACATTTCCTATTTAATGATAAGTTGGATGTTTTATGAGATATTGAGTTAGTAGATGTTTTGGGGAAACATAATAGGAAGATATTAAAGAGGAAATAGGAGAGAAATAAAGATAGTAAGAAAGGAAAGAAAGAAAAGAGAAAGAAAGGAGGAGAAGAGAAAGAGGAGAGAAAGAAGAAGAAACCTTGGAAAACATCAAGATCAAACCCTAGCTTGCGGTTAATCAGGTAAGGGTGAGAAGTTTTATCATCTTCATAATGTGTATGATCATGTATGTGCTAGATTAGATTTGTTGGATAGTTTCTATGTTTCCATTTCTAGGTCGGAATTGATTTAATCGGTAGAAATTGAGTTTTATCGGTTAGAATTTGGAATAGACGGTGTAATATAGTCGGGTGATGAGTGGGTTGTACTACTGGAACTGATTTGGATTAAATCGGTCGGTTTGTGAGGTTTGGGATTTTGGACAACCATGGGAGTTCTGAGTTCGCAGGTTCGCCAGGCGAAGCCCAGCGAGCAGTAGCGAACCAAGTCAGTAGCATCCACCCTGTCTTCGCTGGCAAGTTCGCCAGGAGAATGAGAGTGGCGAAGGTTCGCCAGGCGAGTATGCTAGCGAGTAATTCCAGAATAAATCCCAGTGGTCTTCGCTGGCAAGTCCTCCAGGCGAACGGAGTAGCGAAGGTTCGCCAGAGGCTTCGCCAGGCGAAGGTTAGCGAACACAGCATCATATTTTCTTTTCTTGTGTTTTCCATTCGTGGATTGTTTGTGTGGTTTGGTTGCGATCATTTGTTGTCTGAGATGATTAATTATATGCTGTTATATGTGCTGTGGGTGGCCGTATGGCGTGAATCCTAGTTTGTGATTCGTGAAGTGTGGAATGTGGCCGTTTGGCAATTTGGTGCATTTACTTGAATTGAATAGAAATGCATGTTGAGATCGAATGATGAATATGTATATATGTATTGTGATATGTATATATATTGTGAATGCATAATGAATATATGCGATGAATGTGAAGAATGCATGAGTATGTTTGTAAACATGTATGCATTTCAAGAAGTGTATGGAGTCATTTTGCATGTGAAGCATCATGAAGTACATTCTTGTGCTGTTGATTCCTAGGAGAGTTTGATGAGTGATAGGATTCCTAGGAGAGTCCGATGAGTAATGTGATTCCTAGGAGAGTTTGATGAGTGATAGGATTCCTAGGAGAGTCCGATGAGTGATGGGATTCCTCGGAGAATCTGACGAACAATGTGATTCCTCAGAGAATCTGATGAACAATGTGATTCCTCAGAGAATCTGATGAACAATGTGATTCCTCGGAGAATCTGATGAACAATGTGATTCCTCGGAGAATCTGATGAACAATGTGATTCCTCGGAGAATCTGATGAACGATGTGATTCCTCGGAGAATCTGATGAGCGATGTGATTCCTCGGAGAATCTGATGAGTTATAGTGTACCCGTGAGGGGCGTGAGTGAATTGATTCTTAAGAGAATCTGATGGAGGATTAAGTCGGTATCGTATTACTTTTGCGTAGAGTAGCGAGTTGGCCTCTATGATTTGCATTTATCATCTTTGCATGATGTATGGTGAATAAACATGATTGTGGATGTTTATGTAAATTGTTGATAA